GGGGGGGGGGGGGACACTGAGGAAGAAGTAAGGCAATGTCTGGCCCCATCTTCTGGAAGCATGTGTGTTTCTGATCAGCTAGAAATAAGAATGTTTTCTTTCTGGTCATGGACCAATCAGCTGGCCCTCAGACCCTGGGGGAGGGAAGCTAGAGGCTAATCAAGAACTTGTTCATCCACAGGTCCTTGGAGGCCCTTTGTGAAGAGCCTTAGAAATTTCACAATGGGATCATCTCCAACAGCTGCTTCTAAGGATTGTCTATTGGAAAGGAAGGACTCACGAGTGAGCAAATGGACACAGACAGCTAGGAGAGAAAGAAGCAAAGAGTCACTAGTATATGCCAGGCATCTGTGGACAACACTAGGTTCCCTCAAGAAGATTCCATGAACAGGTGTTTTACAGCTGGGTTCTAAAAATACCTTAGTAAATTGGCGTGCTAAGGTAGGCAGAATAGTGGCCCCCAAAGATGCCCATGTCCTAACTCCTGCAACCTATGAATATGATCCTTCTCATGGCAAACCTGACTATGCAGATGCAATTAAGTTAAAGATCTGGAGATGGGGAGATCATCCAAGTGGGCTCAGCGTGATCACAAAGGTCCTTAGAAGTGAGAGAGGGAAGCAGGAGACTCAGAGTTAGGGCAGATAGGGCAACAAAAGCAGAGGTAGGAGGAAAGGCCACGAGCCAAGGAACCTGGACAGCCTCTAGAAACTGAAAAAGGGAAAGAAACAGATTCTTCCCAGCTCTCCAGAAGGAACGGTCAACACCTTGATTTTAGCCCCGTGACCTGTTTCAGATTTCTGATCTCCAGAACTGGAAGATAACACATTTGTGTTTTTCTGAACCGAGTTTGTGGTCGTTTGTTACAGCAGAAATGAGACACTGATACGCTTGCCTTTAACCAGACGACCTAAAGTTTTGATGAGAAAAGTAAAAAGGATTGATTCCTTTCATGTACATTAGACATATGAAATTAAAAAAAAAATTTTTTTAACATTTGTTCCTTTTTGAGAGTGAGAGACACAGAGCATAAGCAGGGGAGGGGCAGAGAGAGAGGGAGACATAGAATCCGAAGCAGGCTCCAGGCTCCGAGCCGTCAGCACAGGGCCTGACGTGGGGCTCGAACTCTCGGACTGCGAGATCGTGACCTGAGCTGAAGTCGGACGCTTAACCGACTGAGCCACCCAGGCGCCCCAGAAATATGAAATATTATCTTAGGAAGGCAAAGCAAAGCACGATTAACCCATAGGCTGTAGGTTTCCCCCCAATAAGCGGGATTCTTACCTGTTAATGCCCTGTTTTTGCAGCCTGACAGTATGCAGCGGGAGCCCTGTCCTGCCCAGACACCAGCCAAGGCAATGCCCCGCATGGACGGCCTGGGCCTCATCCCTCCTTCCTGCTGTGCCCGCATTCAGCTGCACTGTGCCCAGACTCACCCTGCTGGTGGGTCTCCAATGAGCCCTGCCTCTCCCCAGGGAGCCCTTCTTAGGAGGCCATCATCGGAGCTCCTCTTAGGAAGAACTGGTCGGCAGACTTTCGGTAGTCCAGATGACAGAGGCTCACCCAGCCAAGGATGAGTTATTTAAGCATTGGTTTCACTTATCTTTTTTAAACATGTTTTTTAAAGGTTATTTATTTTGAGAGAGAGAAAGCCTGTGCACACGCAGGGGAGAGGCAGAGAGAGAGAGAGAGAGAGAGAGAGAGAGAGAGAGAAAGAGATTCCCAAGCAGGCTCCAGGCTGTCAGCACAGAGACCAACGTGGGGCTCCATCCCACGAACCAGGAGATCATGACCTGAGCTGAGATCAAGAGTCAGACGCTTAACCGACTGAGTCACCCAGGCGCCCCTAAGCATTGGTTTTGGACCTGCGAGGCCCCAAGCTTTATGGAGGCACTGCAGAAACCCGCCAGTTCCAGGGGTCCTGGAGGAGAGCTCCATGACTAGGGGTTCAAATGTTCCCGAGTGACAGGAGCATGTGATTGAGAAATCAGCTGTGTCTTCCATCCCGCTGCGAGCTCGTGTGAAGGAGATGAAGATACTTTCCCATCCCCCTCCAAGGCAGGCCCGCAGCCTCGCCTCAGGGTCCTGGGGGGGCTGGGTTTCTCTAACCTTGCTGAAACTTTAATTTTCAAAAGTCTGGGCCACAGAGCTCAATTGTCCCCTGACGAAAGGGTCTGCATTTGTCACAAATGACCACGCACTTGAGGCTTCAAATGACACACATTTCCCCAAAGAAAACAAAACACTAATTTGAAGAGATACCTGCACCCCCATGTTTAGTGCAGCAGTATTTACAACAGCCAAGATATGGAAGCAGCCCAGTGTTTCCCAACAGACAGATAGATAAGGAAGATGTGTGTGTATACACACACACACACACACACACACACACACACACACACCCTCACACACAATGGAATCTTACTCAGCCATCAAAAAAAATGAGATCTTGCCATTTGTGACCACATGGATGGACCTGGAAGATTTTATGGTAAGTGAGATAAGTCAGACTGAGAAAGACAAATACCATATGATCTCATTATATGTGGAACCCCAAAACAGAAAAAACCCCAATGAATAAACAAACAAAAAGCAGAATGATACTTATAAATACAGGGAACAAGCTGATGATTACCAGAGAAAAGGAGAGGGGGGCACGAGTGGAGGGGAAAGTTACAGGCTTCCTTCCAGTTATGGAATGAATAAGTCATGGGAATGAAAGGCACAGCAATAAGGAATATAGTCAATTCCTTGTCAATTCCTGTGTCTCCCTCTCTCTCGGCCCCTCCCCCACTCACGCTCTGCCTCTCTCTCCCAAAAATAAATAAACATTAAAAAAAAAAGGAATCTAGTCAATGGTATTGAGGTAGTGTTGGACAATGACAAGTGGGCCGGTGACCAGAGAAGTCACTATGTTGTATACCCGGAACTAATGTAACATTGTATGCCAGCTATAGGCAAAAGAAAAGAAAAGAAAAGAAAAGAAAAGAAAAGAAAAGAAAAGAAAAGGACACAAACTGATTTCGCAGTTCTGGGGGTCAGAAATCTGAAATGGGTCTCACTGGGCTAAAACCAAGGTGTGGACCCGGCAGTGTTTCTTTTGCAGCCCCCAGGAGAATGTTTCCTCCCCTTTTCCCTGTCCGGAGGCTGCCCGAGTGCCCTTGTTCATACCACTCCTGAATCTGTTTCCATCAATCGCCTTCTCTTCTGTAGTCCAATCTCCATTTGCCCAGCCTACCAAGAGTCCAAGGGGGCTGAGAAAGTGAGGAGTGGTCTGGTCCCTGAGACAAGGGTTAGATCTTGCAGGCCTGACTGGGTGGGTTTCTCTGCCCCCGACTTCCTTTGCAGCACCCCGCTGGTGGCAGGACTTCTGATAGGGTGACCAGACAACCAAACCCAAAGCTGTGAGGCTAAAGATCTCTGTGTCCAAGTTTTGCTCAGGAAGAACATGGCCGTCCACCTTCCGACAGGCCCCAGCAGCTGGCACAGTTAGCTGGGGCCGGACCACTGGATCATTCAGGATGGCCTAAAAACCAAAGGCCTTTCCCCACATTTTCTGGACAGACTCATAGCATCCTAGGCAAGCAGGGGGCACCCCACAACCTGACTGATAGTGCATTTCTTGGTATTCTTGTCAAGTGGAGGCACAGACTATGTTTAGTTGGATTTGGATAAAAAATATGGTAAAGGGACATATTTTGCTTCTGAATGTTGTGGATCCCACAGCACACCTGTTTGGAGATGAGGCATAATTGGCTTATGTTTTTTTAATTAAAAAAAAATTATTCTTGAGAGACAGAGAGAGAGACAGAGCACATGGGGGAGGGAGACAGAGGGAGCAGAGAGCGAGAGGGAGACACAGAATCCAAAGCAGGCTCCAGGCTCTGAGCTGTCAGCACAGAGCCCAACGTGGGGCTCGAACCCACAAACTGCGAGATCACGACCTGAGCTGAAGTCGGAAGCTTCACCGACTGAGCCACCCAGGCGCCTGGCTTAATTGGCTTCTAAAGTAAATACGCTTTCCCATCACGTTGTGACTATCTGCTCCAAGAGTCCTGCTTTTTACAAAGTGAATTTTCTTATCTCCAAGGCTTTAGGTGTCTTTCTCTTCTACTTTACTGGAGGGGGGGAGCCCCCCAAAACAACATGCAGCCAAGCCTCCAGTGGCTCTCAAGAGGGCCAGATCAGGGCTCCCAGGCACCTGTAATAAGAACTCTTTGCCCTTCCCCCCAACTTGAATGTCCCTTCGGAGAAAAGATCACAGTGTGCCTTCGGGGTCAGGTATGAGGATTACGCGGATAGTTGGTTCTCCAACCTGATCAACCTTGGACTCCATAGACGGTGTCCATCCAGCGGCTGGTCAGGATGACAGCCCAGATGCAGAACCAGCGGGGAACACGGTGTCCCCACCCTCCGTTCCGCTGGGAAGACGGCTGAGGCAAATCAAACAGGAAAAACGGCTGCATTTGCTCATAAGGAACAAGGAACATTTTGCTATTGAAGACCGGAGGTGACTGTAGTGGCTTCTCCATTTGAAGGGCACTGGCATCACTCATTTCCACGGGAAAACGAATTCCCTCCTGCTCAGTGGAGCTGGGGGGACCGAAGATTTGCTGTCCCTGGCATTTGTCGTCACCTGAGGTGGGTGGCCTTGTGCTTAGGGGGTGTGTGGGAGCTTCTGGCTGAGCAGAGGCAGGAGCAGGCCTGGAACTGAGTAGGGGCCCAGGGGGCAGCTACATTGTCTGAGAAATTACAGAACGGAGTCAAAGGGTAGGGGCAAAGGAAGTTCAGAAATGGAGAAGTACGGCCTTGGGAAAGAACTGGCGGGGGGTGGGGGTGGCCATGATGGACAAGATGCAGATGCCGTGGAGAAAACTGCCCGGTGAGAAGTTTCCAACATGGGGGATTCACATCACTGATGTCATTTGTACCTTCTCCAGGTAATGATAATGAATATTTCTGAGGTACTTAGGCCAGGCCCGGTACACTAATTGGTTTATTTCTCAGAATGACCATTATGAAGTGGGTTCTATTAATATGCTCGTTTTGGGGGTGAGAGAGGGAAGCACAAAGGGGTTAAGTAACTTGCTCAAGATCACAAAGCCTTTAAGTGATGTGAACCCCAAGTCTGAGCCCAGGGGCCCACCGTCTTGACCACAGAGCCGCATTCATTGCCCAGGCCTGCAGTTAGGCTACTGTGTACACACGCTTTGGGGGGCAGGGGGTTTGGGCAAGGGAGGCTGACTGGGCGCCTGGCTGGGGTAGCTCAGCAGAGAGATAAGAAGGGCTCTGAGGGGCAGGCCTAGGGAGTAGGCAAGCCAGGTAAGCAGGAGTTGGCCTTGAAGCAGGGCCAGATCTCCTGAGGCTGGGATGCACAGAGACCCTGGAAAGGTCCCCAGGAGGCAGCTTGGGCCACGTGAGTTTCCTCGATGGACTTTGGGATTTTGTGTCGTGCCTGACTAGACAAATAACATTATTAGAATTAACATTTTCCAGCTCTTAGATGTTTTTAAAGATTCTGCAAATGACATGTTGCATTTTTTGCGGCTTGCTTTTCAACCTTTTTTTGCGATTCATCTGTATTATTGCATGAAGTCTATATTTGTTTTCACTGTTTACGGGATCCCACAGAACCAATGCCTATGCCAGAAGTTACTTATCTATTCTATTGTTAATGGACACTTGGGTCGTTTCTACTTTGAGGCTATTTTGTGAAGCGACGACTGAGCCTGTTCGGTCATACGTCCTGGTGCCTGTCTGCACAGATCTCTGTAGGGTGTTGGGATATTGTGATTTATAATAAGAAATATATGTTTAGTCTTTATCCTGTGACCAGCACAGAGCTCAGGAAACCCTTGGGATTTCCCAAGTGGTAAGAGTAATAAAGGTGTCTTTTGGTATGTTAATGAGGCGACTTGAGAAGTCCCTAGGTCACCTAAGGATGGGGGTGGGGGGCTGGTTCCCAAGGGAACCAACCAAATGCTAAGAGGGTTGACACTTTCAGTCCCACCCTCACCATCTTCTCCCCTCTGGGGAGGGGGAGGGGGTGGAAGTTGATTCAATCACCAATGACCAATGATTTCATCAATCATGCCTTTGTAATGAGGCCTCCATAAAAACCCCAAAGGAGAGGGTTCTGAGAGCTTCTGGGTTGGTGAACACGTGAAGGTGCTCCTGGAGAGGGCATGGAAGTTCCACACCTCTTCTCCATACCTTGCCCTATGAATTTCTTCCTTCCATCTGGCTGTTCCTGAGTGATATCCTTTTATAATAAACTGGCAATCTATGAGTAAAATGTTTCCCTGTGTTCTGTGGGCTGTTGTAGCAAATTAATGACTCCAAGGAGGGGGTCATGGAAATCACTGATTTACAGCCCATTGGTCAGAAGAACCAGGCAACATCTTGGACTTGTGGTTGGTGTTGGAAGGGAGGGGGGCAGTCTTGTGGGACTGAGCCTTTAGCCGGTGGGATCTGGTGTGGGAGATTTGCTTGGTGTGGGGGTAAAAAAAAACCCACATCAGAACTGGTGTCAGAATCACAGTTGTAGGCCTGGTAGTAAGATATCTAGGTCATAGGGGATGCATACCTCACACTTGGTCATAGAATGCCAAACTGTTCTCCAAGGTCCCTATCTCTGGTTCATTCCCACCAGCAGTGTCTGTGCCTTTGTTTCTTTGTCGACAATTGATATTATTAGAACTGCTCAAATTTTACCAATATGCCGGGTACTTAAGCATACATCATTATGGCTTTCCTTTGCAGATTCTTGATGAAAATGACATTGGGTAGCTTTCCCCCTGTTTATCAACTATTTGGATTTTCTCTTTTGTGAAGAGCTTGTTGGAGTGTCTTGCTTATTTTTAAAATTTGCTCTTTTTCTTATTTTCTTACTGCCAAAAGTCCTTCATGTATTTTGAATACTATGTTGTATTTACATGTATTTCAAACATTGTCTCCCACTCTGTGGTTTTCTTTTGTCCTCTCTTTATGGTGTCTTTGGATGAAGAGAAGTCATTGAATCTACCAGTCTTTTCCTTATGGTTAGTGCCTGTTGTTTCTTCTGTATGAAATCCTTCCCGATTCCAAGGTCATGAGAATATTCTGCTTTATTATTGTTTAAAAGCGTTATCATCTCAAACATTTTTAACCAGTTACCTTGTTTTCAGCCACACCTTCCTTCTTTCAGAAGCTCCAGGTGCCTGACCTTTCTGAGATTCTGAAACACCAACAGATCTGCTTCTTGGTTTCGCCCAATACCATGAAGGTTTCAACTTTCTCTGATCTGTTCTTAGTTACTGGTCATCTATCTACTTGTCAGCTTCCAAAATGTTGGTACTTTCACCTTCTTTCCCTGTTATCTTCGTCCCTATGGTTTTTTTTCTGGGTGTTTGTGCATGCATACAATTTTCCTGTCACATTAGTGGGGTCTCAGGAGAGATAGGCAATAAATGCTAGTGTTCAAATTTCCAGGCTTAATCAGAAGTCACAGCAGCATTGCTAATAAAGCAGGCAAAATTGGAAACAATCTAAACATCCACCCACAGAAATAAAGTATGGTAGGTCCATGCAATGGAATAGCATGTACCATGGACAACATTGTGTTACATAGAAGCAGGCCAGTGAGGTAGTTAAGGGCATAAGACTCTGACACTCACCAGCTGTGTACCTCTCCATCCCTCAGTTTTCCCATCTGTAAAATGGGATAATTGTATGTAGAGATGTTGTGAGGATTAAGAGTTAATATATGTAAAGAAAGATGAACAACTGTAGGTATATAGTCAGAAGTACATGAAGGTGATTATTGTTAAAAAAAAAAAAAGGAGAGAGATTTTTTGTTACTAATAAAAGAATGAAGTGGATTTATACCCAGAAGAATGGCAATCTCTCCAAGGTATTTTATTAAGTTTAAAAAAGCAGCAAGGTGAAAACCAGTATGTATAAGAGAAAAATAAAATACCTGTAAGAAAAACAGTGTGATCATTTTTTTTTTTAATTTTTTTTTTCAACGTTTATTTATTTTTGGGACAGAGAGAGACAGAGCATGAACGGGGGAGGGGCAGAGAGAGAGGGAGACACAGAATCGGAAACAGGCTCCAGGCTCTGAGCCATCAGCCCAGAGCCTGACGCGGGGCTCGAACTCACGGACCGCGAGATCGTGACCTGGCTGAAGTCGGACGCTTAACCGACTGCGCCACCCAGGCGCCCCAATGTGTGATCATTTTTTAAAAAGAACTAATGTGCATACATATATGTGCTGAACATTTCTGAAAGGATACTGTAGAACTGTTAAGAGAGGTTTTCTTGGAGTAGAAGGCAAAAGGGACTTTATTTAATGTCTTTTGGTACTCTTTGATTTTTTTTTCTTTTGTCATGTGTTTTACTGTTGTAATTAAAAACAAGCAGATTAAAATGTAGATAATTGTTTTAGCTGGAGGTTAGTTACAGTATTTCTACTTTTATGTATGTTTGAAATTTTCCAGAGTAAAAAACTTCTTAAATAAATTAAAACAACAAGTATCTTCATCAGACATTCTGCAAAATCCAGTGTTGAATATTTGGATGGCGTGGAATAATGCCTTGAAGAAAGCTTCCTTGTCAAGCCACATAGGGACATTCCCATGGAGGCAGACAGGAGCCATATCGTAGAGAACCAGTTATTCTAGAAGAAAGCTACTGAGGTCATAGTACGATTGTAGGACAATTTTTAAAAGCTATTTTGAAAAATGTCTAGGCCCTAAAATGTTTTCTAGAGATCCTGGTGTTCAATTTCAGGAGCCCATCAAAGACAGCCTTTTTAGGGAACCCCTAGCTTTGTCTATAGTTAACTATGGACACAATGACCTTCCATCTGAGTGAGAACACAGATTAACTTCTCAATTCCCACAGAAGGTTATTGACCCTACCATCTGCTTACTTGGTTTCCAAATTATATGCACCAACCCTTGTGCAGCAAAATATAGGACCAAGTGATGTATGCTCTCACCAATAGGTTCAACTTAAACTATCGTTTACCCAGCTCATCGCGCTGGATGGGAAAGGTGGTCAACCCAGATGATTGCCTATGTAGCATGTGCGTTCCATTTATTCCTGTAAGTATTCTGAATTTCCTTTGATCAGATTAGAACATCAGAAGCCTTGATACTTGAACTAAATCTGATAAGCTCCACATTAGATTATCTAATGCTGCTATAAGAAATGGCCACATTGGGGCGCCTGGGTGGCGCAGTCGGTTAAGCGTCCGACTTCAGCCAGGTCACGATCTCGCGGTCCGTGAGTTCGAGCCCCGCGTCTGGCTCTGGGCTGGTGGCTCAGAGCCTGGAGCCTGTTTCCGATTCTGTGTCTCCCTCTCTCTCTGCCCCTCCCCCGTTCATGCTCTGTCTCTCTCTGTCCCAAAAATAAATAAACGTTGAAAAAAAAAATTAAAAAAAAAAAAAAAGAAATGGCCACATGAAGTTTATTTCTGCTCTTGCTATAAAATGATGTTCACGATACCACCCGTATAGCCCCCTCTGAAAACTTTGTTTCGGAAATTGGAGCCCAGGTATAGAAAATTTTCCTATACCACTATGGAACTGAAAAGATTTCTTCCAGTACTGAAAATCACATAACTTAAGCATTTCTCTCCTTTTCTCAAGCTCTTGGGAAGCTTGGATCCATGGCTCAATCACGGCAGCTCTGTTAACCAGAATAATGCGCTTGTATTCTCCTTTATTTTCCATTTCTAAATTTCGTGTGCGTCTGTTATTGTCTCTCTGCATTATTTAGCAGATCTCTTCAAAAGCTTAATAGATTATATCCCACACAGGTACACATTTCTTTGGGCAACTGGGAACTTGATCTCTTTCTTCTGGCAGGATAATTAGAAATGGTTTCATGAAGACACGGCACTTGAACCAAATCTTTGGGGATAGGAAGCTCTGACAAATTCTAGCAGAAGAAACAGTGTGAGTAAAGAAGTGACGGAAGGAATGCACAGCCCATATTTGGGAAATGGTAGGATTTGCTTTGGTCAAGGCATGAGGTATAAGAGATGAATGGAAACCGAACTGAAAGATGGCTACACCATCTCAGTAGAAACTCTGTAGGAACTCACACATTAGGCATTACAGCATAAGAGAAGGATTTTTTTTTTCCCAAAATAAGGGAAACTAGTGTATATATTTCAGGCAGAGCATAGATACTGTCAAGACAAAGTATAAAGACCAAAGTAAAAGAACAGGACTGCCACAGCAAGGTCCCAGCTGATGTGGCTTTGAAATGGGACTAAAAGCCCCTACGGAGGGCCTGGAAAGACCACGGAAGAAGAGAGTGGCATCGAGCCTACAGGCCAGCGGCCAGGCTCTCTCCCAAATTCTGCTGCTATGGATGTTTAAGTCATTCTTTTCTTTAGGAGTCCCTTGGTCAACATAAATCAAACAATATCACACACTTAACCATGGCATTGAAATGGACTCTTGCCTGATAATTCATGAGGGAAGGTCTTTTGTTTCTGATTTGTTTCAACAGAAGAATTCCAGCCAATAACTTCAGAAAGGATATTAAGAATTCCAGCCAATAACTTCGGAAAGTTTAATAATTACCATTTTGCCACTTTGAAATAGTGGATCTAGGCTACACTCATCGGTGAATGCTGCCAAATATCAGGCGAGCCTTTGAGGGCAGGAAAGGATAGCATGTCCCCAAGACAAAGAACATCTAAAGATGAAAGGCTTCCTAATGGAGTGATCAGTCTGACCCGCTGGCTGACCTAGGACAGACAGGCATTGGGAAACATGGATTGGCAGAAATAACACACCTCGTGACAAGAAACAATAGGTAGGGTGCACCACCACCTAGGAAGAATGCTTGCCTAAAATAATTGAACCTGAATCTAATCACAACTCAAGACGTAAATATCATTTTACAGGAGAAACAGTTGGAGGGGAAACTGGTTAAATGACACCCTGAGGCAGCGACCAGCCAAATCTAAAATGTGCAAATTCTACAGGACAAATAACCCATTTTCAAACAGATCAATGGCATTATTTTAAAAAGTGTGCAACAGAATCGAATAAAAGGGGTTAAGAAACATTCAAATCGAATGCAATGTATGGATCTTTTTTGGGTCTCAACCCGAATAAACCAACCTTGAAACGACATTTTTAAGACAAAGAAGTTTGAAGAGTATGTGAAGTCAAGGAATTATGGCAAAATTTTTAGGATAGTGCCATGCTGGTTATCTTAAAAAAAAAAACCAAACAAAACATCCTTATCAGGTAGGGAGGCACACTGAAATATTCACCTACCGGTGAAATCACATGATGTTTGGGATTTACTTCAAAACACTCCAGAAAAAAAATCAAGGGGATAGGTGAAGTAAGATTTGTAAGATATTGATAACTATTGAAGCTGGGTGGTGAGTACATGGGGCGTTCATATATTAATCTTTTTACTTCTGTGCATGTTAGAAAATTTCTGTCTTACAGAGACGCTTATTTTAACAGACTCCTTATAGTGACTAGTTTGAAAAACCTTTCTATATCTGTTTTGTAATTGATGAGAGAAAAGGGTCGTTTTCACATATGGTATGTGAATTCGGACAGATGATGAAGGGACTAAGTACATTATTTTACCTACTATAAAATGGCACTTTTCTGTACTTACAGTTTGTGGAGATCAGAGATAAATACCTTTCGTGACTCTGAGAAAGAAAAAAATTTTTGAACTAAATTATCTCCTGGCTTCCACTGCGCACATCCTTGTAAGCATCAAGGCCATAGTACCCTCCGTGAGCCAAGGGAAGACTGGCTCCTCTCCCCAGCTCATCTGATTGACAGCATAACCCAAAAGGCCTGGACCACACACAGCAACAAGCCCCATACGCCAGCGTGGAATCCTCAGGCTGAAACCCGGTCTGTTAAAAGGTTCCCGCCGGATACTGACGAGCCGACTAAAAAATGTGTTCATCTATTCAGTCTCTTGGTCAGCAAAATTGTTTTTTACGTTTATTCATTTTTGAGAGACAGAGAGAGACAAGAGCACGAGAGAGGGAGGGGCAGAGAGGGAGACACAGAATCCAAAGCAGGCTCCAGGCTCCGAGCCATCAGCACAGAGCCTGACGCGGGGCTAGAACTCACAAGCCATGAGATCATGACCTGAGCCGAAGTCGGATGCTTAACCGACTGAGCCACCCAGGCACCCCTCTTGGTCAGCAAATATAACAGAGCATTGCTTATGTGTATTTTAAGAGTGCAAGTCTTTAAACAAATAGCTTATCTCCTAACTCAGATCTCCTCCTCCTCCTCACCTCCATTATCATCACAATCATGCTTATTCTGAAATGGTCAAATGGGAGAACATTGTAGGAGACACAGCCAGTTACCTACTGTATAGGAAGAACAGGTGCCCAAAAAGAATGACAGGCAGAGTTCAGCACCGACAAAACGTTCCTGTTATCTTGAGGACAGATCCTGTTCATCCTCCGTGGTAGATGTTGGAATGTACCCAGATCCCATTTAGAAGTAAAGAACTAGATTGTCAGCTGCCGGAAATATTGCCAGCAGGTGGCCCTCAGCTGTCATCCCCCTTGAGGAATTACCTTGCCTGAAAACAGTTATTGTGCCCCAGAGAACCCCACTTCCTGGGAAGCCAATGAGTGGTTGACTCAGGAGTATAAAGGCCTTGGCCCCTCAGTGTAAGACAAATCTGAAAAGCCAGGCCAGCTTCTGAGCTCCCCATGGGGTTGGCTGAAGCCCGCCTTCTCTGGTCTAGTCCTGCTTCCTTCCTTCCTCTTCCCCAGGTGCTGATCCTGAGAATACTCCCTACCGAACTTCAGCGGCTGATCTCCATCTCAGAGTGTGCTTCCCAGAGAACCCAACCTGGGACACCTCCAATGACACCACTCTCCAGAAGAGTTAGACAGATGCCCTCAAAGGAGCCATCCTGCTGTCCCCAGCTATTGTTAGGAGATGTGAAGCCACGTCTAACTCCTGCCTCGTTCTGCCTTCTCAGGCCACTCATAAATAGGTGGCTGAGAGAAGGGAAGGAGAAATCAAGTCCCTGATACTCACTGCCCAGGAACGACCACCACGCGTCTCACAGAAAGGCGTTGGAGATGCCATTGTTGCCAACATCTCAATTAACAACATCTTCGCTGAAATTACTTTTTGGCCTAAATCACTTGGATACAAAGAATATTAAATGGTTGCCTTGCTCAAAAGTATTTATTATGGAAATAATGTTATTCCTTCTGCTACCCGCCCAGGTAGACCACATACGTACTGGGGCGAGAAGAGCAGGTGTCTCCTCCCAGGACAAAGACAAGCACGGGACCAGAAATGTCTGTCTTAAATGCCACTGGCTCCATGGGTCTTGCTTCTTGTGTTCACCGCTGTGCCTGGCACAGAACCTGGCACTCGATAGGAGTGCCTTATGAAGGATTCACTTAATTCAAGAGAGAAAGAAGGAGAGATCCCATCTTTGCCATGAACCTCTTATTGGCGCCCTGACCAGGATGTCATATATTCTAACCTGGAACCTTGAGCTCTTTGCTGGAAGCTATTCTGTGTTCCTCTTTGTCTCCCTGCTCCCTGTCAATGAGTCTGGTACACAGTAAGTGCTCCGGAAGGTATGACTTGAGTGAATGAAAGAAAGTTCTGCAGATCAAGGGTAGTGTGCGATCACCTATTGCTGGGTAACAACCAACATCAAATCTTAGCAGCTCCAATGGCCACCATTACCTGCTCACCATTCTGGGCTCAGCTGGGCAGTCCTCTGGGGGGTTACTCATGAAGCTATAGGGTCTGAGAAGGCCTCATGCAAATGTATGGGGCTTCCAGCCAGGGAGCCTCAGCTCTCTTCCATATGACGTCTCTGGCAGACAAGGATAGACGCCCATGTAGCTGTGCTTCTGAAGCCTCTGCCTGGGTCACCTGTGCTGGTGCACATAGGCCAGTGTGAGCCACTGGGAGATGACCCAGGTCCTAGATGCAGGGAGGAGAGATTTATTAGAGGCCACGAATCACGTCACCTCTCATGACCTACCATGGGCACATCATCCCAGGTTTAGCCACTTGGGGCCAGAATTCTGGAAGGATTATTCTTCCAGGGGTTCCCAGGTGACTGGATCTTGGATTTAGGTATTTCAGAAGCAGTAAAACAACAACATAACAATTCGGGAATAGTCGGGCAAAACCCTGCAGAGGATCTACGTGCACACGCCCACAGTGGCAGCAGGTACAGATGGCCTGGGGTGGGAGTTGCCACAATGGTGGCCTGGACAACCTCCTCCTCTGAACTTAGCTCAGGAGTTCCATCCCCTCCTGATCCTCTAGGGGTAGTGGGCCTGGCCACCTAGATTGGCAGCTGGGGGCAACTATGCCAACAACTAGGCCTGGGGGCAGGAAGCCGTGAATGAAGGGATCAGAAGAAGAGGTGCGGGGACAGGTCTGGGAGCTGGAACCAGAAAGGTCTCAGCCATACCCTTGGCTGCTGAATTGGTCAGCCGAGGACACTGGCTGCTCTCCATCCCCCATATACCCCAGTGCTTGGCCCACCGTGTACCCTGGAACCTCAGAGCTCGGCACCCAGGTCCTCTCTCCACTCATCTTTTGGAACCCCTGACTGTCATGCTCTGAGTAATTAGTAAAATTAGTTTGCCATAATTATATCATTTCTCTTCTCATCGCCTTCAACATGGCAGAAACATTTATGCGAAGTGGGAATGTTATCAATAATCAACTATTTATATAACATCTGCTGTGAGACAAAAACCAACTGAATTAAGATTTTCCAAGGTGAACTATTTCAATTCCTGAGACTTCCAGAACTCTCAGGCCCTAGCTGGGAAGTGATTTATTTAGGAGGCATGGGGAGAGAAATGTCTGTGGCTAGTGATAAACCTTTGGGGTAGAGGTGAATGCATGTTTGCATGGGTCACAAGTTAAGGATGATTTAGGATCAGGACAGAATGACCCGGGGTTAGTTGTGCAGAGATCTGTTTATTCCTGTGCAGGTTTTCAGGTTCCTTGAAGCAGTGTGGTCCACAGGAGGAAGACAAGAGGCAGGAGACACCCCCACCCCCCCACCCACCCAACGCAATCCCTCAAAGTAAGGTACATTTATAGGTGCCACACTTATAGGACTCCAACATATTTTGGGGAAAGGCAATACAACCAACAACACCAGCCTCCCCTATAGGCCACATGTCTGGGAAAATCTTTTCTTCTGTAGCAATTGGGAAGAGGGATGCTGAGAGGCTCGGAGCCCCATCTAAGATTTGGCCCAGAAGTCTCTGAAATCTTGGGGAAAAAAACTGACCCCCAATTCTGAAGCTTTAGTGGTTCTCCATTGTGCTGACTTCCAACTAGAGTCTAGAAGTCACCTTTGGAGGTGCAGTTAATTCATTTGCTTTGGGAAAAATACACTGATACCCATTATATATATGCAAACTAAGGCAAGTATCCTCTTCTGAAATAGGATGACTCAAGGTAAAGGCATTTCTTATAATAGAAAAGTCTGTCTTCATTAATTTGCAGAGTGTTTCTGGGGGAAACTCTTTCTGGGGGAAAGTCAGGCCTGGATTCTGGGTAGGGCAAAAAACGGTTTCAAGGGCCTTCCTTTGGTTGGGGTGGGGACGGGAGAGGCGGATGGCGGGTGGGAGTTGTAGGCTGTGCAATCTGGAGCCAGGCTGGAGGCTAAGGAGCAAGTTACCCTGAAGCCGCAGTGGTGTGCAGGAGCTAGCTGTGTGGACTTTCGACAAATGGCAAAATTGTCATGAATTTTGCAAGCTAGTTGGTAGGCATGGCCGTCATTAAAAATTAAATTACGGGGCCACTTGGGTGGCTCAGTCAGTTAAGCGTCCAACTCTGGATGTTGCTCAGGTCACGATCTCATGGTTTGTGAGTTTGAGCCCCGCATGAGGCTCTGCGCTTGGGATTCTCTCTCTCTTCCTCTCTCTCTGCCCCTCCCCTGCTCCTGCTCGCTCTCTCTCTCTCAAAATAAATAAATAAACTTTAAAAATTAAATTATGTCAACTGACATTTAATAAATGATATTAAAAATAGAGTTAACAAGTACTCAAGCTCATTGCTTCTTAATTATTTTACGACATTTTCTATTACCTGTACTGTTGAGGGCTATCGTGTCAGTTGGTGGAAATTCTTTGGACGTCGCACCACTGCGCATCTCTTCCCAACTCCCCTCGATGAAATCAGCCACCCGGCGGGGTATTTACACCACAGGAAGTACACACACTAGGAATCAAACTCGTCTAGCCGGTTGCTAAGCACTTACCGACACACTTGGTGCAGGGGACACTGTGGAGGTTCTGGGAGTCATCCGGTTTCCAACACTGCTTGCCTCTTCCGTGCTGGAAAAGTGGAATTAAGGAGCAGGCTAGTGCCAAAGCCCAGGGCAAACCAACCTGGAGGAGCCCAGCAGCCTGGGCAAGCAGGTGACAAGGTGGCAGGAGGGGACGTGTAAACGGAGTGCAGCTCAATCCAGACAGCGGCACCTCTAAGGACTTGTGCGCCACATAAGCTCAGTGCTAGCAGCTGAGTACTGCTGGCCCAGCTCCCTTCCGAGGCCCCCAAATTAAAAAGAACATATCAACATGGCTCATGGATTCTCAGAAACAGTCTCAGAAGGGAACCCGAGAAAGGGCCGAGTTTTCCCTCATCCCACAGGCAGGGGCTCCCACTGTTGTTTTCAGGGAGCGTGACAGCTTCTTAGTTGCAGAAGGCCAACTGCAGTCTTTCCTATAGGCTTTCTCAGGACCTACAGTGATCTCCTGTGCCCACGACTCTCCAAAGGGTGCCATTTGTAGCAGTTCCCAAAGTTAGCTGTGCACAAAGTATCTCAGAGGCCAGGGCTCCACAAAGACAAACTTTGGAAAGCTCAAAACCAGCCATGTGGACATCATGGAAAATGACCTGGCCAGCCAGGCGTTTTCCAACCCCAGCATAGCTCAGTGATCCCGAAAAAAGGAAATGCTTATTATTTTCCCACTCATGATTGTACTCAGGAGGAGCCCGCCCTCAGACCCCTTCCTCCTCACTCCATCCCCCAATGTATACAACGGGAAGGAATCTTTGTGCAATGATCTAATACGGAAGAACAAACAGCAGAATACTGGCAATCCCATTGGGCGGCCAGAAAACTTCAGTGAGGGCCAGGGTGGTGAAATTTAGCAAACAAAAATATAGTTATATTTTTTTAAGTATAGCTCAGTTAAATTTACATTTCAGCTAAGCAAGGAATACTTTTTAATATCTGCATGTTCCGTGCAGTATTGGGGACGTACAAATGCTAACAACATATTTGTTGTTTCCCTGAACATTTAAGTGGGCATCCCGTATTTTCCTGGGACCACAAGTGAGGGCGGGCTTTTGGGGGTCAGATCTGGTGGGGCTGTGAGTTTGGCCACCTAATTGGTAACATGAGCAAGGTTAGCAACCTCTTTGACCCTCAGTTTCCCAGTGATGAGTAATTATGAGAGACAATATTTCTTTCACAGGTCGGTGGGTAGGATTTGAAAGTTCATAAATGGACTCCAGCATGAACTATTAGCACATCGTCGTTGCTTAACCACTGTTAGTTCCACTGTATCCTCACACTGTTCTCTTTTATTGGGGTTAATTGCTGAGGAAACACATAATTTTGCTGGACTCCTGAAGGTTATCATGAGTCACAGGGCCACTTTGTGAGACTTTCCCTGCCTACCTTTCAGCTTCTTTGGGGCTTTGGTAGTTCAGGGTCAGGACCTGACTGACAGTTGCCTTCTCATTATTCCCAGGATAGCCCTGTAAGTCTCAACCAACCTCAGAACCATCTAGAAGCCATTGTGAGACTAAATCGGTAGCCCCTTGTCTACCTAGTAATTGAAACATTCAACAATTCTACCAGGGACAAGGAGCTAAAATCTTCACAGAAGCCTCCACGTGTGGATTTCACAAATAATGTTCAGTTGGCTTGTGAACTACTGCTGGAAAAACAGGCCCGGGAGGAAAGAAAAGTTCTGCTCACGTGGTTCTCCTCCGTGTCTTTTCCCGTCACTCTGTGGCCGACATAGCTCCGTTTTATTCTCAATTTCCCAGGCTACTGAAGGACAGCTGCAGAATCAATGCCCCAAAGATGGTGACGACTTCAAGTTGGATTTGTCCTGACGCTGGTTTATATAATTATTTTGATCACAGAGTTAATACTCCAATTATATTCCATTTGGGCTGATGCTCATTATTTAACATTCATTTGGAGTACGTATGCCTGGGTTAACTGGAAAAAAATCGGTTGTCTTGGGAAGGGAGGTGAATTCAAGGCAAATTTGGAGCAACTCAATGTTCTAAACTGCTTGTGTATAATTCTGGAAGTAGATAATCCATATGTAGCATATAGACAGCTAACTTAAAAAAAAAAAAAAGCCATTTCCTGCAAGAGAAATGAGAACAGTCCAAGGTTGCCATTGTTCTAATTCTGGTTTTGGTTTTCCCCAGAGCACAGGAATCTTCGCAATCTTTTCAAAACAACGTTAAGGAAGTCGAAAGCTTCCTTTTAATGAAAATACAACCTCATTTGAATGTTTAAAAATACCGTGGAGCATGAGATCAATTGCTATTCTACCTGCTACCTGGGTATCTAGGATGTTTGTAAGAGTTTTAATTAAATAGTGACTGGGATAAAAGCCATAATTTAAGGGTGCAGTTACCCAGAACAACACTTTATTTCATCATTAACTTCTTCGGATTGATCTAAAGTGTATCGAATCCTTGCTTTTAGGTAACAAAACAAACTCTGCCCGTCATTAGCAACTATTTTTAACTGCTTTTAGAGTCAATTCGTGGGCAAGACCATATGCTAGTGAGGATCGGAGCAAGGGGGTCTCATGCACGGCTGGAGTGGAAACATGTGCTTACCAGACCGTCCAGCCTGCAAACCACGTCCACATGAAAACCTGTATGTGAAGGTTTATAGCAATGTTATTCATAATTACCCCGAACTGGAAATAACCCAAATGTGGCTCAACCGGCAAACAAATAAACTACTACATAGTAATACTGCTCAGTCGTAAAAAGGAACAAACTCCTTATACATGCAGAAACCAGCATTGTACCCAGAGAAAGAGGCCAGCCTCAAATGGCTACACACCATATGATTCCATTTATTGCCGAAAAGGCAAAGCTGCAGGGACAGAGAATTGATGAGTGGTTGCCAGGGGCTGGTGTGGGGAGGAAATGACTGACAACAAAGGATCAGGAGGGAACTTTGCGAATAACAGAAGCATTCTATGTCTTGATTGTGGCGTGGTTATATGACCACATGCATTTGTTGGAATTTATAGAACTGCAGATTTTTTTTTTCAACGTTTATTTATTTTTGGGACAGAGAGAGACAGAGCATGAATGGGGGAGGGGCAGAGAGAGAGGGAGACACAGAATGGGAAACAGGCTCCAGGCTCCGAGCCATCAGCCCAGAGCCCGACGCGGGGCTCGAACTCACGGAGCGCGAGATCGTGACCTGGCTGAAGTCGGACGCTTAACCGACTGCGCCACCCAGGCGCCCCTGTAGATCTTTTTGAAAGGTAAATTTTACTGCATGTAAATAATATAGTCTCAATAAAACTGATTGAAGAACCGGGCCTTTTGTGACTTCCTAGGTATCATACTGATGT